TACTACTTTACAAAAACTGTACATTGCATTGAAATGGTGCATATCCTGGTACATTTAAACGTGTATATTGTGCATATTGTGTATATATATATATATATATATATATATATATATATATATACGCACCTAAGATTTTCACTCACTTTCGCACCTTTGTAAATGTGATGCGACAATAAACGTGATTTGATTTGACCATGTCGCTCAATAAACGAGATTTGGCGCCATCTAGTGATCAGGTTTGGAAGCTGTGGTGGTGGGCGATGGGAGTGCGCGCATGTCTCGTAGAAGCGCATTTGCTCAGTGAGTGCTCTGAACTATTTAATGAAGCAAAGAACCCCTTTATCATGCAAAGAGTTCTAAGTGTTCATGGTTCTATATCAAACCATTTTCTTTACTAAATAACCCTTTAGCCTTAACCATCTTTCTTAAGTGTGTAGAGCACTTTTCATACCGGTGGCAGCTCGAAGTGCTTTACAGACAGGTGATTAAGCGTAACAGTAATATAAGAAACTATGAGTCATTTAAAATCATATAAGACAGACAGATCAAATTGAAAAGACAAATACCAAAAAGAGGTGGACTTTTAATTAAAAGTTAAATTAAAGAGAAATGTTTATGTTTCTTAGGAAACGTGCTGCTGCATTTTGTATGAGTTGTAGATGCATTGTTTTCTTAGGAAGCCCGATAAAGAGACATCTGCAAGTGTGTCTCTCTGAGATAGAAAAGGCCAAACTTTAACAATATTTCTCAAATGATTACAAGCTACTTTATTGACTGTGTTTATATGCAGGATAAAACAGAGCTCCAAGTCTAAGACACACCCAGGTGTCATACTTCAGGTTTGGCATAGAGCCAAGCTTCTTACAAAACAGCTTTCTCTGAATTTTAATCCCAAGGATCAGTAATGCAGTTTTTTCCTGATTTAGTTGTAGCAAATTTCTGACGCATATCTGACGCACGACAGAGTCTTGATTTTCAGGAAGAATGGAAATGTATAATTGCGTGCCATCAGCATAGCTATGAAAACTTATATCATGTTTCCTAATGACACCACCTAGAGGTAACACGTACAAGAGAAAACCAAAGACCCTAAAAGTGAACCTTGGGGGACTCCACATGAAATGTTAATTTCTTGATTAATGATTTCTCAGTGAAACCATGAACTGTCTATTAACTAAATATGATTTAAACCATTCTAAAAGTGTGTATATGAGGCCCACCCAATCTTGCTATGAATGTTATCAGAAGCTGCACTTATTATTAGATTGCACAAGATCCAGTAAGACCAGAACAGAAGGATTTTGCATCAGTGCTGAGGTCACTGACAACATGAACCAATGCTGTCTCAGTACTATGTTTAGAACAAGAAACCTGATTGAAACTTCTCGTATAACTTGCTTGTTATTAGACACACATTTCATTGTTTAAAAACAACCTTTCCAAGACTTTATTTTAGAAACAAGTTTTGAAATTGGTCTAAAAGAAATTACCATGCTACACTTTTTTAGTAGAGGCTTCACGAGGGCACTTTCAAAAGCATCTGGAAAAGTATCTGTTCACAGAGAACAGTTTACAATACTTAAAACACAGTCAAAAACCTTCGTAAGGAGTGAAGTAGGAACGGGTCAAGATTACATGTGAATGAAATTAACTTGTTTATGACAGTTGTAAGCTTCTGATAATTGAAAAAAGAGAAAGATGTCACTACTGATGCATGTGGCTGACCGTTTTTGACCAAGGTTATTTGGCCTGGGCTTTATTAGCGAATGAAGCTTCACTGGTATTGTGTGACTGACTCTCAGTTGACTCGTATGGCCTTCCTTTGACACTTTCCGAATTTCAGTGCAAAATGCAGACTCTGGAAACGCACTGATGTATTTCTGTGTCTAATGTAGAGAAGTGTGTTTAGTGCTTAAGTGTGAGGCTGAGAATGAGCATAAGTGAACTAAATGAACTGCGTAAGTGTAATATTATAATGATAAAACTGCATAATGATTTGATTATTATGATTGTTGCAGAAATCAAAACTGGCCTATCAGTTATGAAGAAGTGGCCAAAGAATTTATTATTATTATTATTATTATTATTATTATTATTATTATTATTATTCTATGTTTTTATTATTATTATCATTGTGTCATTGGCATCAGTTAATAAGTGGATCTCTAATCTGAGTTCTAAAGATTGTATAGTAAGTTAACCCTGCTCATAAAGAGAAGAACATCATTACTACAGTCAGACACAGTGGACACTCATTACTGTTCTGTGTGTCTTTATCTGGCACTAGAACTCTGCAGAAAGTGAAAGACAGAATTAATGCAGTTCAGTATTTACTGATTCTATAGAAGAGCTTTTTACCATCCTGCAATAAAACAATGATCAGAAATGTAATGCAAAGCCAACTGAGAAACACTCTGAAAAGAAGTTAATATGTTGCCATGGCCCTCTCAGTCTGCTGACTTCAACATCAGAGGAAATCTCTGCAATCTGATAACAGCAGAGTGTGACAAACGGCCAAGCAGTCTGATACAGTTAGAAATTATATGTGATGAAGAATATACATAGATTACAGCTGAGAGGATCCAAATGTCTCTTAGTAGGTCTACAGAAAGGTCAGAGGAAGCTTTCAAAGCAAAGAATGGACATAAAGAAAATGTACACTTAGATATGTTTTAAGTAATGTGTGAAAATATACTGTACATATTGATAGTTTTGGTTAAAAAACCTTTTTTAAGAAGTAACTTACATTAAATGTGTGCCTAAATAATTGTCTTCTTCAAAACAAAGAGATGCAATCTTTTTCACATATACAGCAAGTGTAAAATCAAGGTAAAGTAAAGGTAATAAACCACCATTAGCGTGCAATGACGCACCATTCAAACGGGCTCCTTCACTTCTCATTGGCTGTGTGCATGTTGGAATGCTGTCTGTCACTGATAAATAGCAAAACAGCTCACGAGCCCCCTTTACTTTGAAGTTCAGCGCAGTGCTGTGCGGTTACTTCAGGGTGTCCTTTCCTTTTCCAGAGTGACTCACCTACACCTGAAGACTGTTATTCTCTGTTTTTACCACGAGATGGCGCCAAGCAGTAGCGCGTGATTGGGACATTGGAGGGACAGAAATAAGAGCACCGGTGAGCGCTGTGTGGTCATTCAGACGATCAGTGAAAAGAGCTGCAGCGGCTTTGTTTAGACAGCGGTTTGAGACACGTTCTGAGAGAAGCTGATCTTCATTAGGTCTTCATTAGCAGGCGAACAGGAGGCATCAAACAGAGCGACAAGATTTCATTTAGCTTTGACTTTCAAATGACTCAATATAAAACAGCACTGACGGTTTGCTTACTGTACACTCTTATTAACATTAACATTAATACCAAAAAGTGGTTTCTTTTTTCTCTTTTCGTCTCTCGTTTCTCTTTGGACGCAGTAAAAGAGCAGATTTTTCCCTGAAGCTGCAGAAAATTCCCACTGTAGAAACGTCAGTGATGCAGATGACCGTTTTTCTCAAAACAAATGCAGAAAACTATGACGAATAAAGAGTATCTTTGTCTTTTATTTACAAATTAACGAATTCACGAAATAAAAAAAATGAAAAATGCTTTTCATCAAAAATTCCTACGGTGCTGTAGAGACAGCAACTGTGTGGAGTTTTAAAATACTGTTCTTGGTTAAAACAGCGCGCAGAGTACACGACGGTTTATAACACCGCAAAGCCTCTAGTAATAATAATTATTATTACAGTAACGCTCTGAGACGGATGTTAAAAACCTTTTTAAAAAGCAGGTTTAAGACGATGTAAATGCTTCCCTACTCGGTGATCTTATTTATTATTTATTTATTTTATTTGTGACATAGCCCAGTTCAGACCACACTTAATTTGTGGTAACAAAACAGTATGTGTTAACGATAAAGTCAGAGTTCAGACTCATCTGTGATTTAATCTGTATAGATCAGCTCCGGGTTTTTTAAGACTGAAATGAAGGCTGGAAACAACTTAGTACGGAACAATAATACATACTGTAATTTACTGTACATTAGCAGTGACGAAAAGGACATTTACGTTTTAAAAAAAGTAACGATGACAAGTTAATGAAACAAAGCAAAAATGTTTTGAATTGTTTATTAGTATCAACAACAATAACAATTATTTGTATTACAAAATAACAAATAAATACCATAAATAAATAATGACATTATTATTATCATTATTATTATTGTTGTTTTTGTTGTTGTTACTGTTGTTATCAACAACAAAATAACATTATTATTATTATTATTATTATTATTATTATTGTTATTATTGTTATTATTATTATTATTAATACCAACAACAAAAAACAACATTATTAGTATTGTTATTGTTGTCATAATTGTTGTTATTATTTTTATTGTTATTATTATTGTTGTTGTTGCTGCTGTGTCACAGGTATCAGTTGATAAGTTCGCAAACTGTGCCCGTATTATTAATCTAACTAAAATGATTATTGACAGTGAAGCGATGACGTTCAGAAACATCCACACAGTTCATTATACAGACAGGATCCTGAACCGATCTGAACCGGAGGAGGATTTTACAGGATGTCCGCTGTAATTTAAAACCATCTCCTGTAAATGAGCTCAGCCCTGAGAGAGTCGGACTCTCCTGTGTTTCATCCTCTACAGCGTCTGAAGCACATCAGACTCTACTGTACAGTCTCATTAATAAAACTCTGTGTATCTCGGTGGTTCAGAGTCCTGTGGGTTAGTTTTCTCTCTCCGATCCGTCATTACGCTCCGAGTGAACCTTTTCCCATGCGCGCGGTGACCCCGCCCCCTCAACACGCAGAGCCTCACTGATTGGTCGCGTCAAGCCCCGTCCCTCGCGCGCAACGCCTCTATAAACCACTACAGGCCCACCGCGGGCGGAGAAACTCGCGCCACTTGTTGCTCCGCGCGCACTGAGTACCGGAGCCCGGATCCCGCTGCTCCGCGAGCGCGCGCGCTCGCCGTCCGGTGTGCGTGATGAACTCAATGGAGGCGCAGCTGCAGCACGCGGCGCCACCGCACCCACACCATCACCACCACCACCCCGCCCACCCGGCCGCCTTGCAGCCGCTGCCCAAGAGCGCGCACGAACCGGCGGACGTGGCCGCGTACTGCGACGGCTTCTCCTACCACCAGCAGGGCGTGACGCCCTACGGACTGGGTGACTACGCGCCCGCCGCGAGCCCCTACCTGTGGCTCAACGGGCCCACCGCGACTCCGCCGCCGCCCCCCTCCGCCTCCTCCTACCTGCACGCGGGCGGAGGACCGGGCGCTCCCCCCGCGCCGCTCGTGCCTTCGTACGGAGCGCAGAGGCCATACCTGAGCGGTGCGCCTGACCTGGGCTGGCTGTCCGTGGCGAGTCAGGAGGAGCTGCTGAAGCTCGTGCGCCCGCCCTACTCCTACTCGGCGCTGATCGCCATGGCTATCCAGAGCGCGCGCGAGAAGCGGCTCACACTCAGCCAGATCTACCAGTACGTGGCGGACAACTTCCCGTTCTACAAGAGGAGCAAGGCAGGTTGGCAGAACTCCATCAGACACAACCTGTCGCTCAACGACTGCTTCAAAAAGGTGCCGCGCGACGAGGACGACCCAGGTGAGCGCAGGGCGCGTGCATGAGTGTTTTTTTTTTCCCACCCGTATTCGCTCTGTTAGTGCCGCACTGACTGCTCGTTAATGCTTTAATAGAAACACGGACAGTCAGCGCCGGACACAGCGGCTCATCTGACCACTGGACTCATAGTCATAGTCTAGTGAATGAGCTGGTTTAGGTTCTATAACAGAACTTATATCAATTGTACAGGACTAGCCGTGACATCAGTGTCATTTCTTCCTTCCTTCTCTTTCTTTCTTTCTTTCTTTCTTTCTTTCTCTCATGCCAGTATAACATCTTTTAGATTCAGGGCCAGAAATGTATTTGAGCACGTATTTGATGGGTCTGTTTGTTTGCTGTTTATGTTTTCTTCTTGTTTTCTTTCAGGTTCACTTTGAGTTTTTTTTTTGAGTTGTTGTTTGAGTTAGAAACTTACTCAGACATCTGTCTGAGATGTGACAACTAAATACATCGAACATTAACCAAAATGTCGTAAAAAAATGTTTATCCTTCTTTAATTTTATTTAAATGTATTTCTATAATTACAGTATTAACAGCGTTTTAATTGAGTTATATATTGTTTTAATTAAACATTTAATATTATTTAGGCATTTTATTCATTCTGATTGATTGATTGATTGATTGATTGATTGACTCATTAACTGATTGACTGATTGACTTATTTCCTAAAGGAAAAGGAAATTACTGGACGTTGGACCCCAACTGCGAGAAGATGTTCGACAACGGCAACTTCCGGAGGAAGCGGAAGCGCAGGTCGGACTCGAGCGGCGGTTCTAAGGCGGATGACAGTCGATCTGTTGCGGCTCTGAGCGGCTCTCTGTCTCCCTCCCTGCCCGCCCCCTCTCCTCCTGAAGCGGACGCCGCTGGCGAGGCTCCGCGCGGCCCCCCCGCCCCCTGCCTGGCCGGCTTCTTTAGCACAGTGGCCGGACTTTCCTCCTCCTCCTCCTCTTCCTCCTCCGCGGTCAGACACGGCTCTCTCGGACTCCTCAGCGAGCTCTCCAGCCGCAACATCGGCGCCTACCAGCCCGAGCACGCGCCAGTGGGGGAGCAGCACGAGAGCGCGCACGCGGCCAGGAGCGCGCACCACGGCGCGTTTACGGCAGGAGCGCAGAGCGCAGGACACTTCAGCGGACATTTTTACAACGGCTTCAGCGTGAACAGCCTGATCTACCCGCGCGAGGGCACGGAGTTATGATACCTCAACGGGCACATGAGGGGGGAACACCGGGACTGGGGGGCGTGGGGGGAGAGCTTAAAGAGCGTTTCAGCACTGTGCGTCAACCATTACTACCATCAGAGCAGAGGCCCAACAGGGAGTAGATACAGACCAACACTCTGAAAAATAAAGATTCCTAAACGGTTCTTAGCCTAAATTAGCATTCTAGGTAAAAATATCTTTAATTGGTTTAAACCTTTACATTACACTCTCAGAAATAAAGGTAGTAAACTGTCACTGTACCCCTCTCGTCACTAGGGTGGTACCCTCAAGGGTACATCTCAGTACCTTTAGTCAGGGAAAATAACTGTACCATAACACATTGAAATTATATTTTCCAAGTTGTGTTGACTCCACACACCCCGTCTCGTCTCCAGGCTTTTTATTAGGTTATGAAAAGGCACAAATATGTATTTTTCACCTGTGAAAAACGGATTTAAGCTACACAATTATTCCTTAAAACCACTGTTGTACCTTTGAGGGCACATTTACATTGTTTGTACCTTGATAAATGAAAAATGTACCTGATCAGTACCTTTATTTCTAACAGTGTATGTACAGATTCAATTAATAACTATAATATGTAGTGTGTTTTTCACACATCCAAAAAACCATAAAAGTAGTTCTTTAAAGAACTCCACTGAAGGGCTCTTTAGGGAACCAAATGTGGTTCTTCCGTGGCGTGGCTCCAAAGAACCTACTTTGGCACCTATATTTTTTAAGCGTTATTACAAATACATCTAATGAGATGAGCTCAGTGAAGGTTGTATGTGCAGTTTGGAAAAGTCACCTTGCTTGTTGGGTTTTCATACACAAACAGAAATCACACTGAATTTTCTTGGTTTATGTGAACATCAGTTCCACTGAATAATGTATAAAATATGAGCGCAGTCATTGTCATTCTATTCACTGCCTTTCGGTAATAACAGTGCTGATGTGATCTGTTTTATTCATGTTGAACTGATGTACATTTGAATCAAGTGAATTCAAATTTTCAGTGCATATCCTAAAATAGATACAGTGTCCATTTATTACAGGGGATTTCGCAGTGATGAAGTGGTTGACTGGATATGTGAGGAACATTGAGACAGTTTTTGTTTGTTTGGCATGTTTTAGTGTTCTCCTGCTCTAGCGCACCTGATTCAAATGCACAGCTTATTAACAAGCCCTTGTTGAGCTGCAGTGGTTGTGTTAGAGCAGAAGAAGTGTAAAATGTAACACGTGATCAGGAACCACTGACCTAAAATGAAACATGCTGATGGTGTTGAATGCAGAGGAACCCATCTCAGAGTCCCTCTTTATCTCCACTCGTTTTATTGTGCATTTTTTTGTAAATTATATACAGGTATTTTTTAAACTATTTATATTAAATTATGTATTTTTGCAGTCCGTTTTAGTAGAGAAAGCTATATTTTCTATTGGGATTATAGTAAGTTATGAAGAGAAAAGTATTTTGACATGCACTCTCAAAAGTAAAGGTCCTTAAATGGTCCTAAGTTTGGCCGTACGGTGTAGGAAAAACTGTTATCGTGGAAGTTTTTCTCCATCCAAATTGTTCACTGAAGGACCATCAAAGGTTCTGTAAATTTTTATGGCATTTCTCCAAAGAACCCATTTTGGGCACCTTTATTTTTAAGAGTGTAAAATGCTAAGTGCCACTAACTCCTTCAGCTGACCTTCAGCTTCATCATCCACGTATTAAAGTGCAAAGAATTTAATCCCTTTGAAGAAAATGACAACATCAAAATGTCTTCTCTTAATCCTCAAAAGTCTTTGTATAATTTTTCTTATTATGTTTATTTGCATAGTTTTCTCTGACTTTGTAGAATCCTTTTGTACTTTTCATGGATGTAGAATTTAAAAAAAAAATCTAAACTTACAAACTGCAGTTCTTAGATGTTTTTTATCTTCTCATTTCAGCTATAAAAATAATCTTAAACTACAGTCTTGCTATGCATAAATATCCCAAATACAGAAACTCACTGTTAATAAATAAGTGACATTATCACTCTTGAGTTTTAAGGAAACTGAATCAGTATTTTTATTTGTGCTGGTGGAGTCGATCATGACACTGGAATGAAAATGTGTGAGCAAAACTGACTTCAGGTTTGGCTTTGAGTTCATTAGATCAGCTCAAATCAGCACCAGTAACACTGTGGTAAATAAAATCTTTACATGTCTACCATAAATGATCAGGACACTGAATTTCACACACATTGCTAACATCGTGCCTTTGATGTGATTTATAGAATGAAAATTAGAACTAGGCTATAAAGAAGCTGCTCTTCAGTGATAATAGTTTATGTCACACCTGCACAATTTCAAACACAGTCTAAGTGAACTGGTTACACCCTGTAGCCATAATTGGTATAATCACCACAGAGGACAACTCAGAAATAGCTTTAAACATAGTTGTAGCATCAATACACTGCTTTCATGTACAACTTAATTACCCTCAGTCTTTTATTTCTTGCATTACAATTTAATTTATATTATAACGTCGTGTGAAGGCAAAGGAAGCACTTAGAGAGATGGAATCACATTGTGTTGAGCTGAATAGATAAACAGTTGCAGAAGATTTTGTATTCTTCATAATATAATTATGATGTTGCTGCTTATTTTATCATATATTGCCAAAAGGCAAGTACAAGATACATGACTCAGACAGACAGATAGATAGATAGATAGATAGATAGATAGATAGATAGATAGATAGATAGATAGATTAGTCTTTTAATGTGCTTTTAAAACAGGTCAAAGTCAATCAATAAGGTCAGGTAAGAGGTTATACTTGATTCGGCTCAGTTCTAAGCTAAATCTTCTATTCATCTCCATTTAGACCTGAGACTGATGTGATCTTCCTCTTCCTTCTCCTCTATTATCCTTGCTTGCAAAAACGGATATGTGAAGAGGCCGCTTTCTGGTTAAGCAATAATTATTATTTTCGTGTGTGCCATTTCTGGCAGATTCTGCTTATGATACAGTGTGCGAACGGGTCAGCCTCCTTTGCTGGACGAGAGAAAGAGAGCAAGAGAGAGAGAGAAGGAGAGAGAGAGAGAGAGAGAGATAGAGAGAGAGAGAGAGAGAGAGAGAAAGAGAGAGAGAGATGTATTCTTTCTGGTGGAGGGCCAAACCCTCAGCACAGATAGCATGGCTGAAGCCTCAGTCTTATTACAGAGAGCCAAAGAAACAATGGCATTATTGTTCTGCGTCTGTCATGCCAATCCACATATACCAGAGCAGCCAAGCTAAGGAGAGAGGAGAGAGAGAGAGTGAGAGACCTAGACTGAAAGACAGTAAAAAATAAAGGAGGTTACCTTCCTCCTTTTGTCTTGCCTTCTTTAGGACTGTTTGCATAAATGCTGGGAAGAACCCAACTGGTCGTTTGGAGATTAGGAGAAAACTCCCAGTAAGAAATTCCCTGAAGTAGAAGGGTAGTGCCACCCAGGAGATGGCGAAGAAGTAGCGGGTTCCACAGAGAGGGAGAGAGAGGGAAAGAGAGAAAGAGAGAGATTGATTCACAAAGGCAGTGTCTAACATTTACCTCACAGGAAGACTCTCCTCAAAGTAAGGATTACACAGTGGAATATCCCCATCATTACTCGTCTGCCCCCACCCCCGGCTCTGCGAAGCTCTAACACGGTACAACACGAAAGCAGCACAAACGCCTTGCTCTGAGAACCGCTTTAGTTGTGGTGACCAGTGTGAAGATGCTGTTACAAAATGTCTGTAATGTCACGTAAAGAAGGAACATTGCTGACAGTTTCTTGTCGATGTTCTCTTCATACCTTCCCAGGAGCACAGATGTTCTACTAAAGCAATACTTAGCTGTAGTGCTTCGTAGTAAGATCTTGTTTTTTCTGTACGGACAGCATGTGGGGCCCCTTTTTCCACTGAGCCCTTTGGTCCACTGCCAAGTGTGAAGTCCTCAATTAGTGAGGGCCCGAGTGGACCAGCGTGGCTGACCTTCAGCACCTATTTTAGTGTCCCCTCCATTCTTAGCTGTCAAAAGCTTGTCCCAGGATAACCCTGAGGCCCTCTCTGTGCACTTCACAATCATATAGGGCAGTTACTTTCTTCCCCAAGCTGACGATACATAATTTACAGGACAGGCAGAATTCACTGAGGCGAGCGGGTTGGGATATTCTGAAGTTATTTCACATTCATTACTGTCTATATATCAAGATTGTGTAGGTAACATTTCTGAGCATTTTGATCTGAAAATATCACATTATGTGTACAGATATTAGAGAACTGATTTGTACGATATACAGTACAGTTCAAAAGTCTAGAATCACTTTTCGTATAAACAACTGCTGATGTTTTATTCAATACATAACTTGCTTATACATTGTAGACTGAATTACCATATATTAGGCACCAGAAGATATTTTAAAATGCTTTATTCTGTGTCAAATAATATACTGGAATTATCTACCTACAGTAATACTGGAATTTCTTAAGTTATCTGCCATCATGTTAGTTGCATTAAAACTGAACAATGTTGATCTTTCTCAATCAGTATGGAATCATCTACAGCTCTGTTCATCATTCTGGACACATCTAAAATATCGTTGCTGTCCAAAGAAAAACAAGAAATCTCCAAAATAGTAACTTTACAGGAGAAGGCAAAAACACTCTTTCTTTTCAATGTAAGTTAATGCAAAGAAATTTTATTTCAAGTGATTTTAGGGCATTTCTATTGGTCCATTCATCGTGAAATTTTCACAAGACGTAAAAGACAACTGGTGTATTGAAATGATGTAAAAAAAAAACCTGACGAAAATGGAGATACATGGTTTTCTTTGGACAGCGATGGTATGTTTTCCTACAGCTATAAATTAGTTGAAATCTATGAAGCTGCGGAGTAGTAATATAATATGTGTATGTATATGTATATGTGTGTATATATATATATATCGCTGCTGTTGAAAAAAAAAATTCATATCTCCAAATTGAGAACTTTACAGGAGAAGGAA